AATTTAAATAGATATACAATAGACATTGGTGATGATATAATTTATTGTGGACGACATGAAAACGTTTTACAAACTGCTATATTGAAAACGGAATAGTTTGATTCGGCGTTCGAGGTGGAAAAGGCTGACACACAACCAGTGTATACAGCTAAAATAAATCAGGACCAAACTCGTCAAAAAAAATGAGATGTGGGACCCGACTCGACCGAAAAAATAATTTGTGGGACTCACTAACTGGTAAGTACACAAACGCGAACCGATCGGATAAAACAATCTTGATATCGCAATCTCTCGATAATGACGACGACGGCAACGAAGACTACGACGTCACTGGTGATAGAAGAATAAGCGGCATACAAGCAGCGTTCCGACATTATTTCTAATATAAGTGTGTGTGTGCTAAATGTTTGTGTTACATTATATCATATAACTATACTACAGGTATAGGACATAAGTAGCAGTAGTCCTTACCCGAATGGCGTCAGTTGTCCGTGGTTACGTGTAGTATCAACATTTTGCACCGCTGCTCGGCAAACTATGTTGGCGACGCGTCGTCCGATCTCGCTGACATTAGATCGACGATAGCGATGATCTTGGACGGTTTTTTGGACCAAATGCATGACGATCGACGGGTTTGGACGAAGTGTCGACGTAGCCTTTGAAGATTTACGAATCGGTAGCGTCATGCATACGATAACATCGCAGTTTGTGGCAACTGGCTGCTCACATAAATGGCTGCTGCGACGGCGGCGGCTGCAGTATGATCTGCGCAGTATTCACAATCGACCCATATATGATTATCAAGAGGGGGTAGGGAATTAGGGTTGACAGACTGAATCAGCTGATAATTGGTAACCACCCTGGTTTGTTGGTGGTAAAACAGTAGCACTGATAGGCATCGCAGCATCTCATCGATGTACGCGTTTATCAATAAATTCACCCAACAGTATGAAAAAAACACCGCGGGATGCTTACACCATATCATTGAAAATCATATGGTTTATTATCTCAGAGTGTTTCTTTTTAGTTTTACTGATTTGGATCAATGCATTTCTTGACTGTATCAAAATACGAAGAATACAAATTTACAAAATATTTTCTACGAAAATCTCGGCCAAATGTCAACAAAAACCTTCGAAACAAAGGTTTTTAATTCTCGTTTTTTATCTTTCATATATTTCTCTAATTTGACTTAAATCGACTACATTACATTTGGACATGTTATATAGTGCCGGTGTTATCTAATCATGACCAAAGTACGAATCAGAATGACATTATTTACATCAGCTTAACGTATATCTATTATTCACATTTTTTTTTTAGATTTTAGAAAATAAAAGATGTTATTATTATTATAGTTATTTTATATTAACAATATTTTTTTGGCAAGCTATCTTAATTCATATTTTATTTGACAAACATCAAACATTTCGTAAATTGGAGGTGAAAAAGAAAAAATTAAAAAAAACACGAGACAGTACATAAACTCGTATAGAATGTATGTTTATGTTACGGTTATTGTTTAATTTAGCTGGACAATAATATTATTTATTATGTTTTGTTAAATATATTATTCAGTTTTAACTTATATGCAACGGGACTCAGATCTGAGTATTTTCATCGAAAATTAACAATATAACATAATATATAGAGTGATTCACCTAATTGTTTTTTTAATATATTTTATTTTTTATTTCTAATTACTTATGTAGGTTGTGAATTACTGATTTAAGATGATGTAAACTTAATGTTTAGCTTCATCCTTCATTTCTTTTGACCCAATTTTAAAATATTAACTAAATATTCAGTTAATCGTACAAATAATTTTTAAATTTTACTGAAAAATGACACCTTTTATAGCATCCGGTGTATTTGATTATTAGGTAACAATTATTTGTGATTATTTTTGAGGCTGTGTAATTATTTTCATGTTGCTTTTCATACCTGAAGTAAAATCATCCAACGATTCACTAAAGATTTATAAATAAATACATAGGCACACATAGTAAAATATTAAAATTAAAATTAATAATGATGTGAGTAACACACTAGCACAATATGAGTACAAAATAAACCATTTCACACAATGTGTCAATTTACAAAATTAATTTTTAATTTCCCAGTGTGACATTTAAGCTTAAACACTGTTTAGGGAAGTGCAGTGACATATTATTTAAGGGAGTACAGTTACGTATGACCTATATAATTCTGAGCGAAAACGGTCTTTAAGTCCATATTACTAAGGATAATATTTTTATCATCTTTATATTGCTACTATACAAGTTTATTTTTCTATTATTAATAACCTATTGTTAATATATTAATAATCCTTATATGCATAAATGTATATGTCTTTTTTATGTTCTAATTTGCTGACAACACTAATGAACTTTTTTCACAGAGTTATTCCAAATACTTTCGAGGAAATGGCGAAAACGTCAATGGGTGCCAACTTTTTGTGGTCGAAAATTTGTTCACTTGTGAATTATTAAAACTTTTAAAATTATTTTAATAATTTATAATATATTATACTGTTTTAAATTTAAACGAGAATGAATGTACTTATATATCAGCGACCGAGAATTATTAATATACCTACGTCCGACATACCTAATAATAATTCCTTTTCCCAAATTTGTTGTGATTCAATATTAGTTATTTAAAAAATGCTCTTAACTTTGAACTATAAAGAAGTCATAAACTCAATTTTATCTTCGAGAGTAGTGGGTTCATGACATTACTAAACAATATTTTAAAAAAGCATGTCAATAGATTCTTTCCTTTGATCATAATCTAAAAAGTTCACAAGGTTCAATATCCCATATTACCAGTGAGCAGGCTCTGGTTGGACATGCCATTTATTTTACACCGGGGCACTATAAAACTAAATGTGGCACTACCTATTATTATATTATTCAGCCAAGAACGTGTTTAAAAAATAAAATTGGAAAGCGGTACCTTCTCAACTCCCCTCACAACAAATAACTATTCTGTTATATGATTTTAATTAAAACATAGTACATACTAATAATCGCTAATGATTTAATTTTCTTTGAGAAAACAAAGTTTGTAATTCTCTGAAGATTTCTATTATAATATGATATTAACTACTCGAGTTTACTCAAATTAAAAAATAAATTATTTAAATCTTAAACATAATTTTGATAGTTTTGAGTCACAATTATACTATATACAATATGATCACAATTTCAGCTTTTAGGGAATCGATTTTGGCGGGATTACCTTACATTGAATGACTTTCTGTTACCATGTTCGACCTAGGAGGTTAGGTTGTAAAAGTAATTCGAAGGAAAAACCTCTCTATTGTTTAATGAATGTGAATTTTTGACGAAATGTCTAAACAGATTATTTCGACAAAGCCCGTATATTGCTGCACCGTATAAATGTATATTATAGTAGCCATCTACTCCTATTTACTAAACTTAATATACCTGTTACAAAAAATATTATACAGAGGTGTGTATGTTTTCGGTTATTTTAATACATTTATGCAGACTTGCAGTTATAGAAGTACTGATATAATTTAACAGACAATTATTATTCACAGTTAATGGCTTTATTACAGTAAACACACAGTAATCTACCTATAATTAATAACATAATATTATCAGACAAATTGGATTCTGATGAATCAAAACTACCTTATTAATATTTACAAATTAACTTTTTTTAATACAAATAAGAAAAACTGAACTTTTAGATGATTTCCCCTCTATAAAATAAATATATTGTAGTATAACACAATTCAGTCATCATCAGTGACTGTTGAAATTTTTCGGTAGAGCTGTACAAGTCATTACAGCCAGACAAAACCATAATGTTTATGATAAGGCTTTTGAAATGTTTTTAAACGACAGTTTATCTCACTTTAGAACGTAAGATGTTCACTTTTAAGATTAAATATTATGTATGGGCAAGTATGGCTTATTATTATTAATGTGTAATTACTAGGATCCAGGACTAGGATACTTTGTATACAACAGCATGTTTTTTTGCTAAGTCTAAATGGAATTTTAGTAAGTAGTGTCTACAAATTATATTAACCTTATGAAAATGGTACTATTTTTATTTTGCATGTTTTTGCATATAATGAGCTTTATGCATATTTAGTATAATCGTATTTATTGTATTTGAGCCCGTAATAATTGAACTGATCAAAGTATAAAACTTGATTTTTTTGTTAAACATAAATTGTATTTTAATAAATACAATCCTATGACACAATAGGTAGGTATGTGATATAGATTGAATAGTTTGACGGAGAAAAATAAACACAATTAATAAAACTATGTAGGTGTCAATATAAAATCCAAGACAAGATAAAATTTGTCGGGTATTACACACAACCCTACGTAGTACAAACAGTTTAGCTGTCCACGCATCACCATTTATTACACTATTTTTCAGTGTGATTTCAGTAAAATTATTGTGATTTTTGTGTGTGACAACTATGACTATAACTTAATGTCTAATACTGATAAAAAATGATCATAATTTTGTTTAACGAAGTATTTAAATTAGGTCTGAAATGTATAAAGACAAGATAAATTATACATAATTATTCATTTTTACAATTTGATGAACTGTGACACTTTGATTTGCATAAAACATTACTTTTTTACCAGTGCCATACCTGGGGGGGGGGGGTCCCAACCCCCCGAGAAGTTGTTGATGCCATAATGGAAATTCCAGTTTAAATAATGTAAATAATTAACACAAAAAATTGTGTTATTCATTTATGCTCCCCCCCCCCCCACCGCCCAAAAAAAAACAAAAATGTTTCACAGGTACGCCACTGTTTTTTACAATCACATCTGTTAGTTTTGCATCGTGTTTCACAAATACAGCTAGTATAGCCTTTCCAGCGATTCCTTAGGTAGCACCCTCACGAACGGTAACTTTTTTTCTCCGACAGTCGACATTGTCGTTTCATAGTTTAATATATTTTCAGAACAAGAAATGAAGGAACCAAATGTGATCTAGTGAACCATAGCATACCATACTCCATACCTACATAGTAATTTTAATATTTTTTTCAACAAATTAATTTTTATTGCACTTACATAATTTATACATTACATCTTCATATGCAACAATGACCTCCAAAAGATTAAGAGATAAGCCACTCACTTTATCCACGTCAGGTTAGGCACTCTTGCAGTAGTTCCTAATTGAAGTTCTGTAAAGTTATTATTAGAATACTTCATCACTTTTTGTGCTTGCTTTTGAAGGTTAATTAGGGCCCCTTGCAAATAATTCTTCATTTGATCTTTGCTCGAATCTAAGATATCACTGACTTCTGATTTCTTCTTAAATTCTAAAAAATTAAAATATGCAATTGCAATAATAATAATAATAAAAAATATTATTGTTAAATATTAAATATTAATGGATCAACTATTTTATTTTTCAATATTAGATACCTATAATATTACGATTAGTATGCTCTTCAATGCCATCATTCTCAACTTCAAGTTCATCGGTGTTTTCGTTTTGATTTCAAAATACAAGTCTTCTTCCGATTCCAAATTTAGTAATTTCATCGTAAAGGGTATTTGTTGAAGCTAATCCAATTTTTGAAAGGACAGCCAAACATGGTGTTTCTACGGAAAACAACCTATACTTAAATTTTTTTTTTAATTTTTGACTTGATGTTTTCATTTTTTGAATATAAATAATGTTTTTTGTACTATAATTTTTAAAACAATTAAATTTAAATTAATTTAAAAAAATTAATAAAAAGCTGGATTTTTATGGGCTTTACAAAGTTTTCGAAGCCAAACCTTTTTTCAGATTAAGTTGTTTTTTTTTTGACAATATGGACAGTAGCGTAAGAAACCATTATTGATTCTTTGGTAACGTTACAATATTAATGTTTTAGTTCGGCCATCATTATATCCCCATGTCCAATTGCAATATGAGTAGCATATAGAAAGTCGAAAATTTCATCAACATTTTAAATAAAAGATAACTGATCCATCTCATATGGGTTTAATTGATTTGTGGTGTTTTTATTTTAATTTTTCACTTTTAACAGCTTATATTTTTTTGTCATACTGAACCGTATTGATGTAGGTGTGCTGTGTTGAAGTCCCATTATTTTGAGTTTTTTTTATAAATGAATGTGAATATCGCATTTTCGAATTTCATTTTAATTTCTTAAATCTCCATAGCAAAATTTAAACAAAAATGTATGAACTCATTTTCATCGATGTCGGAACAAAACGTTAATAGTAATTTGCACTGAATGTAAAGTAAACTTGAATTGTGCACAAACAAATCGGTCGACTTTAGAGGTAATTACTGAAGGACCTATAGTGTAGGTGGATACCTACTAGATTGCAATGTTATGCAATGTGATAGTAGGCGTGTGTGTTACTTTTATATTGTATATATATTATATACCTACTATATAGATGCCAGATGTATCCGATAGACCGCTATCTTTTATTAATTGGTACCTAATTGTACGACCAATGGTATATGAGCACCATGTAAATAACCACTCATTGCCGAGGCACCGTCGTAGCCTTGACCAACTAGAAACTGGCAGTTAATGCCGTTATTTTGCAAACTACTCATTATTAAAGTTGCAAGTCCTTTTCCAGTAAGATCAACAGCAGGTGTAAATTCTAAAAAGTCTTCACAAATTTTTTTTTCGCCTTGATCAAAATAACGCAAGCATACCGACATTTGCTCAATTCTTCCAATGTCTGTAGTTTCGTCTGCTAACACAGAAAAGCACTCGGCAGCATTAACTCTTTGGATTATTTTTGACTTAACGATATCACCACAAATCGAAATAATCTCATTTTGAATTCCAGGACTAGTATACAACGAATTTTTTGGACCATTTTTCAAATGTTCTTCTAGAATAGTGTCACCAGAATCTACACGAAAGCGTAAAAGTGCTCGGAAATTTCCGTCATTAAAAGTATTTATGTTCATTACATTTCCAAAATCGTTTGAACCTCGGAGAACAATTTCTTGCTTACTACAAAGAATAATTGTTTTTATAACAGAAAGTAAAATGTTTCTATTTTGTTCTATTTGTCTAGAACGTTCAATACTGAGTTGTTCAGTAATGTTTTTAGATCATCCTTCATTCACTTTTAAAAAACTATCAGATTTTTCAACACACAATTTGTGATATGACGTACTAGCATGTAGTTGAAAATCTTGCAAAGCATTTTTCCAATTAGTATACTCTTTAGAAACAAGTGCACCTAATTGTTGATGGCCACCTTTACCTCCTTTTTCTCGAGCAAACAAAACGCATGGTCTACAAAATGCTCCTTCGAAAATTTGTGAATAACTTAGCCATGAAAATCGTTTTATCCAAGATAATTGAAATCGTAAATTTCTTTTGGTTTTAACAGGGAAAATATACGTCGAATGTGGTACCCATGGAGTTTTTAAAAGTTCTTCTTTTTTTAAATCATTAATTTCTAAATTATGCACATAATTATACCAATATCATTTTCCCCAGCTGTGAGAGTCTTATTAGAATTATTAGTCATACTATTATTAGAATCAGGAGTCAAAACAATGTTGTGATTATCAGTATCATTTTTACTAATTGAAGGTTGTTCTGATAAGTTAGCTTGGTCAATTGATACATTTTCAGAAGTAGGGTTGTCTATTTTATTTCTTTTTATTTGGGTAAATGCTGAAATACTCAATTGTTTTTGAACTCGTTTCATTTTCATACATACATTCTCAGAATGAATACTAAAAAAAAAAAAAATATTTTAAATAAACATATCGATGTTTTAAAGCAATTTTTTGTAAATATCGTTCTAAATACGATGCTTGTCCTCAACGAAATAATAATAAAAACAAATAATAATAATAATCTTATTGATCTTACGCCCCGAAGAGGGGGGATAATTTATATAATTTCTTATGATATTAATATTATAATAACCGCATTAAACACGGTGCTTGTCTCGAATGCAAAAACAAAATAAAAATAGTCGGTCTCCGATAATAGAAAATAGTATAATACTATAATAGTAGTAGAAACACTTACTGATTTTCGCCTTGTACAGTGATGTCAGCCGCCAGGAATCCAAATGAAGAAATAATATGTCCGTCTACAAGTTAAAATTAAAAATTATCAACGAATAACGTCTTCTGATAAGTTACACAAACGAAATAAAAGAATACTAAAGATAACGAAATTACTCTTGACACGAAAACGAAACATTCATTAATTGTGTCTACTGTCTATAACCCTCAGTTGGCGATACGATAACGTCACATATTTATTATGATTGTATTCTATTTTTAATTTACGCGATGTTTAACACAGGACGTGGTTTGTCGCGACGGGCTGTTATATCGTATATTGTATTTAATTACAATTGTATCGCAGACCGTCGCGACAAGACCGCGTTCTATATGCCTGGGCCTTTAGAATTATCGCGGAAATTCAATAAAAATATTTTTGATGACTGATGACATTTCGGGGAGGGTTTGAACCCTGAACCCCCCCCCCTGAATACGGCCATGACGACCATCGACATATAAGAGCCGAGAAGTACATTATTGATAGAATTGATTATACCTAGATAAACTGTTAAATCGATTTTAGAACGCAAGGCCATTTCTAATCCAGAAAATAAATAAATGATTTAATATTTTTATCGAGTATGTCTGAAAAAGCCCGGAATAATCATCATAACCTAAGAAATATTTCAAAATGCACCATTGCCTGATAATAATGAGCATTACCGATATTTCTTAGAGGCTGTCAACATCGTATACTGACTAATTTGATCGGAAAAATTGTTATTGACTAGTCATTAATCCCTTAATTTACGTGTTTTCTGGTAACATATATAAAACATGAACTTATATACCTATTACTATAAATTGTAATGATGGCCATACTTTATAACTAATGGTCAATAAAAATCTCATCATCATCTCTCTTATTAGTTACTATAAATTATATAATACGCTGTTTAGGTTGTCACATAGATATTTACACTTTATTTATTTATTTATTTATTTATTTATAATAGTAAACGGGATAGGCCCTTGACATTTATGTAAAATTAATAATTAACAAAAATATAATACACTATAACATACATAATATTAACAGATAATAATGTAGTACAAAATAATTACACACAATAAGATGATTAGATGTTATAGGATCCATCATTAGCTAGTGCCATCATACGCAAAATGGGTTCATTATATAAGTAATTTGTCGCACAGAACGGGACCCGGAAAGGAGAAAAGTTGCGCAGATTAGCGCCGGGAACATTAAAATTAACCCTCCCTAACATATCTGGAGCGTCAACTTCCCCACTCAAAAGTTTCGATAAGAACACCAAATTAGCATTTTTCCTTCTAGTACTCAACGTCTCCATATTTAATTTCGCTAGAACTGGTGCATAATCATGTGGAAGGCAGTCAATACGAAGTACAAAAGAATACTTTTGACAAAAGACCCCCCCCCAGGTATGGCACTGGTAAAAAAGTAATGTTTTATGCAAATCAAAGTGTCACAGTTCATCAAATTGTAAAATTGAATAATTATGTATAATTTATCTTGTCTTTATACATTTCAGACCTAATTTAAATACTTCGTTAAACAAAATTATGATCATTTTTTATCAGTATTAGACATTAAGTTATAGTCATAGTACTTTTTCGGAGAGTACAGTTTTCTTTAAAATTTATAATCAGTTGTTATCTGAACTTCACCATTTTTGTATTTAATTATATGATTGTATCTAAAAATGTGAATTTTTTTTATTAAATTATTACCCACAGCTGTGTAATAATTTTTTAATAATAAAATAAAATAATTGGCAATAAAATATTATAACATAGTGTATTACATCAGTCGAATCAAAATAAAATGTTGTTTCACAGATTTTACAATTTTTATAGTCTTCGCTCTTTAAAATAAAATTTTAATTTTTCTGCAATTTCTGTATATTTTATCGTTATAATTTATTATTATTATTATACAGGTATTATAAGGCTATATACTAATTTCTATTCGAGTAATGTAATATGTGAAAACATTTTATTGCCAACAAATTTTTTTCACACAGCTATAGGTAATAATTTTTATTAGAAATCATATTATTGGATACGATCATGTTTAATTAAATATAAGAAATGTTTAGGTTCAGATGGGACAATGGCCGATGAGGGAATGGTAAGTTTTGGCCAGTAACTAACAGTGGCTGAAAAGTGACACTAGCCGAAAAAGGAAGAGTACATTTTGTCTAAAAACGGTGACGTCCTTCCACGGTTGTCACGTCATACGTGATGACTGATGACTGATGAGCAACAATATGATAATTTGTACCACATAATATTTTGTGTCTTTATAAATAAAAAATGTATTCTGTTCAGTGTTTCCAATATATTAATTGTGCTCTTAATTAATATAAAATTATAAGCTAATAAATATGTATGAACATTTTACGAACCTGTTGTTAGCAGAAGAATATGATAATGATACTGCCATAGGATAAGCAGTTTCGATAGCAGGATGCTGTTTGGATGATAAGCAGAACCAGCATATTCCTTGTGGAACAGAGTATAGCATACTTAATAATTAAGGACAAGTGGTTTGATTTAATTTTCATTAATGTACATGCACCTTCAAAGGACTCCGTTGCTCAGACCATTTTCTAGTAATTATCATTCTTAGAATTAAATTAAAAGCACAAAGTAAAAGGAAAAGACCGGTAACTGTAGGATATGATATTAATGATAGTAGAAAATTAAGAGAATTTCAGGAAAATATGGGGCAATACAACAAACTACCAACACGTTACGTCATAACGATTGAAAGCAATTAACCCTTGAGAAAGTATCAGCTGAGGTAGTAATAGAGAATATTATAAGACTAATATTATCTTGACTTACAATGAGCTTCGTACTAGACAAGACCAAGGTGAAGCAAATATTGCCAACCACTACATTGATGAATTTTCCCGGATTGTTCCAGTTCCAGCTACCTGACTCCAACAGAATCAACGACATGCCCCGTGCTTTTAAAAAACTTGTAGAAGAAAGTTTCCTCCTACCGTTCAATATATTATTGGATAAAACATGCACCACCTCAGTTTTATGTTTTCGTGTTCACAATGTAAAAAAACACACTATGTAATGTAAACCGCTTACAGGAGATATATAAATCAATTTAAATGCTATATTTAATAGATAATTATATTTAATGTATTACATTAAAAAAATCACACTATGTCTATCTTAAAAACATTTTTTTTGATTTTCAGTTCTTTTGACTATTTCCATTCCCCACACATCAAGGTAATTTTAATATCTTTTACAGGTGGTCTTAGAACTAGACTAAATTTTCTGATAACCAATTTCCACGATTTTGGCTCATATATGGTGTTATACATAGGCGCAACTAGGGGGGGGGCTAGAGGTGGCTAAGTCCTCCCAGTTTGTCAAATAGCCCCCCCCCCAGTTTTTTTCATGTGACTTCAATTTATTTTGTGCTAATACAGTTGATGACCTATCAACATTCAACTATGTTAAATTATCCATGATAACAAAAATGTTTTTATCTATGTTGTTTATCTAGACAGTAATAACGACTAATTATTATACTTTATAGTGGTACTAAGGTGGTATAATATTATTTGATCGGTATGAACATAGTAACGAACATTATGATTATGATTATGATTATTAACATTATGAGTTCGCGTACAACAGTCAACAAGTAACGAACACGTTTTTTATAGGTACTCTGTACTTACTCATTTTTCTATAGTTACTGTGTTTTTTGATGAAAAATTAGTTTTGAGTGAATAATATCTGATAAAACACCAAATGTGTTTTCTGTATTTAATTTTAAGAATAAAAAAGTTGAGTCTGACGTAAGTACCTATATATTATGTATATTAGGTTCTAAACGTACAAGAAAATAGCCAAATAGG